TTTTTTCAGTTATTTATATTATATATTATTATATTATTATATATATGCATGTAAATGCATACTCTATTTAATGCATAGGATAGCATTATATATACATAGATTGAGTGGAGTATTTTAGATTTATTTCTTATTATTAATATTATCAATAAATTTATGTTTGAATGAATTCTTACTCATGGTATTTTAGATATTTTTTCCTATTATATTAATTCCTAGTTAAATAAGTTATGTATTTATTTGAAAATTTTAAATTCATTGGGGATTTATTGATGATTTTTTAAAAACATATTTAGTATTTATTTAAGAATTTTAAAAATAATTTTATCATTACATATAATTTTATATATAGTTAAAATATATAATTCAATGTTTAGAAACTCAAATGATTATTCATGACAACTGTAAACTCACAAGTTTTGGAGCTAAAGGCAAAGAGCAACTACCTATTCATCAGCTTCAAGATTCAAGACCAGCAGGAGGTGATGGACAAGCTGGGAAAACCTTAGGAATCCTATACGAGGATTTCACTTTTTCTCTTCCTGAGAAGGAATGTCGTTATGCAGCCTATGACTTTGATTTTGTGCAAAATTACCATGTGAGTTTTAATACAAAATTTATATACAACTTAAAATTAATTAACTATAAGTGGAGTGATCATTTTTATATTTAACTTACATACTTTTTTTTGTTAAATCTTTAATATAAAATTTTTCTGCTCAACAAATTTCGGCACAAATGGGAATTGCCAAAAAGGCAAAATCTTCTTCATTGCTTGGTAATTATTAATTGATTAATTTTCACCGATATATAGTTGCAAATACATAAATTAAGAGGCACACCAAAATTTAATTATAATGTATGTCACAGGGTGCCTGATATATCAATCAAAGGTGAGTGAAGACATTAAATAATTCTTTAAATTAAAATATTTTTACCACAATAAAATCTCGGAAGTTGGGTGGTAAATCTTTAAAGAGAAAATTTTATCTTAAATTAAATTAAATTTATTTATGAGATGATTAAATTATCTTTAAAGTGAAGGGTATTTGAGGTCACTTGGCAAGTTTCCTTTGGCTATAAATAGACCATTCATTTAATGAAAAAAGGGGGAAAAGGAGAAGCAGAAGAAAAGAAGGAAAATAGCAAGTTTAGAGCCTCTTGAAAATTCTCAAAGTTCCAAGTTCCAATTAAAGAAGGTTTCAACTCTCTAACAAAGAAGAAAATTTTCCAAGACAAATTTCAAATCCCCTAATAACAAGATCAAGCTAAGGCCCTTACTCTTTTAAATTCAATTGTCAATTAAAGGATCATGCTATTCCAAAACATGCTATCATTTAAAATTCGAGCATGTACATTGTAACAATCCCAAACCAAAGATTGTTTCTCATTATTTTCAAATTCATTATAATTTACATTTATTGTTTTACAAATCAATATAAATTTTGTAGATGTTGTGACTGCAATGAGAAACAAGATGTTATATGTGATTTCTAAAGATGAATTCAACGAGTTGGATGGGATTCAAGTGGAGTTACGGGCAACCCATCCTAACCATCGATGGATCTTAACAAGTGGAGTTAAGAGTAGTCTTTTTATAATTATTATAGAGGAGTAGGCCTTTGATATTAAGACCTACCCCTCCAACAATGTTTAAAAAAAGTATAACATTGTAAAAGTGCATTCTCTTATTTGAAAATTTGTTTATCTAGTTTTTGCAACTTACCAAACTGTTGTTTTTAATCTTCAAAATTAAAAATTTTCTACAAGGATACTAAACAAACCATAAAATATCATTTAGAAAAAGAAATTTTAATTTTAGACTAAAAAAAATTATCAATTTGCCACAAAAAAAGAAAAAAAAGAGAAGGAATGAATTACTTATGCCCCTAAATGTCACCAACTAATCCTTATTTTTATGCCTCAATTGGTTAATAATTTGAAATTTTAAATTAAGTGGGGAATTTGTTGAGAAAAGTGAAGTGCTATCTGCTCTTATATAATCAATCATCTTATACCCTGAAAAGGAAATCATCATGTGATCAATGAGATATTAATAATTTAGAAGACAATGAGCATTTTCCATCAATATTGAAAATGACAAAAATGTCGTTAATGGAATGTTTAACCATTTATTTGAGTTGAGGGAAACAAAGGGGAGGGGAGGAAACCATTTTTTAATCAATCAAATCAAAGGAGTCAATACCGTACCGTACCGGTTTTAAAGGTTAACCGAAACGAAACAAGTTAAGATTTCGTTTCGGTCAAATTTCGGGTGTACCGGTCAAATTCGGGTGTACCGGTCAAATTCCGTTGTACTAGCCAAAATTTCGGGTACCGACTGGTACATCGAAATTTGACCGGTACACTATGCAAGAAGGAAAAAAAAAAAAGAAAAGAATCCCCAGCCAAAACAACGTCGTTTTGGCTAGGGGGTGGCGGCAGGACCTCGGGATACCCAGCGGTAACCCGATTAGGCGGCCATAGTCCCTCAGAACCAGCAAGAGCGTCGCGATGGGCGTCAGATCTGGTAGCCCTCGCGCGTGCTGCCACAGATCCGTCGGAGGAAAAAGAAGGTCGTCGGATCTGCACCGAACAGAGCAAGAAACAGCAAACAAACAAAGCAACATATAAACAAACAAACCAAAAAAACCCACACAAAACAAAAAAACAAAGCCAGATCAGCAAGGGGATGGTGAAGATCCGAGGTGAAAGAACGGAGGTGACGGTGGCGATGGTGGCAATGGTGGATCTGCAGAAAGGAGAAAAATCAAGGTTTTTTTTTTCTGTTTTTTCCTTTTTTTTTTCTCTTTTTTTTTTTGGGTTTGGCTGCTTTGGCAGCTGCACCTCTCTTTCTCCCTTTAAAAGAGAGGAAATTAGGGTTTTGTTAAATTTGGGTTTTGATGGGCTGCTTAATATTGGGCTGGGCTTATGGTTTGTTTTAGTAAATTTCATCCTCAGCTTTTTAATTTTTTTAATTTAGTCCTTTTCTTGTTTTTTTTCTTCAACTTCTCCCCCAAATTTTTTATAAAATTTTTTTATAAAGATAAATCCGAAACGGTACGCGAAAAATTCCAATATCCGGTACGTACCGTTTCAATAACAAAATCGGTACGCATGCCGGTACGGTATTGACTACTTTGGGCAAAAGATTTGTGAAAGGGAGAAATAAAATTAACCAACCCTACTGCGTGCGTGATTCACAATCCAGAAAGCTTCGCACTAATTAATTAAGTTGACTTAAGACCAAAAACACTTCCAAGTCTTGAAAAAATAACTCGACTCATCAATATTTCAAAAAGCAGAAAGAGGATGGTTGTTTACTTGGGATCTCTTTCTTTGGAATAATTTAAGGGATAATCGTATTGTGTACTTAATATTCATCCGTGGCTCTATATCTAAAAAATTTTAAATTAAATAATAAATGTAGATTATATTCGATTTATATCTAAACATACTTATAGTTAATAGAAATAGGTAGTATTAAT